CAGTTTGAGCACATTTGCGCAATCTTTCTCAACCAGTGTTTTGTGGGGAAATTAAAAAAAAAGTACTTGCTATTTGTCCACAGGTGTCCAACATGGAGCCAAAGTGTTTTCAGCTTTAATCCATGTCCATCATTTTTGATGCCATGACCATTGTCCAATCTTTAAACTGTTCACTTTCAGCTGACAGATGGAGGGTGCTGATTCCAACACATTGATATTTTTTTTTAACTATATTTCCTTTAATGACAAATTGCAACATGAAAGAGAAGTACCTCATTTTATATCATTTCTCATCCCTATTTAAAACTCTCAGCTGTCGATGGGTTCAATAGGAAGTGAAAGATGAAAATGACTTGGTCACAGCTGCTCAGAAAAGATGCCTCCGACAGCTGTTATGACACTCATCAAAATCTCATAAATATTAGATCTTCACAACTGAATTATGTGCCTGGCCCACTGCACAGTGGCCATTCTGTATTTTCTCTGTGGTGGTAAATGTTTTCTACGGCTTCTGTATTTACATAGTCACTTGCTTCTTGTGTGGCGCACAGTTTGGCACCAAACCAGCTGCCTTTAGGTTAATAAGATACCAGGATCTTGTAAAAGGCTTTCTAATCTCACAAGTGCGCCATCAAGGCTTCATCCTCAGCTTGTTCTTTAAGCAGTGCTTTGATCAACAGGTGCTTTTCAAATGTGTATTGTTTCAAAAAAATTCGTGTGTGTGTCCGTCTCCTTCTCTCCACAGGTTTATGGTGGGATGTAGTTCCTCAGCGGATTCTCCAGGTGAAGTGAAGTTTCATGTGATGAATGAACAGCCTCCTCTTCCTCTCTCACAGCCAACACCAGCCGCTGTCACTGTGCAACTGAGAATTGCCGAAGGTAATTTTTCTTTAACATCTGTGTTCTGTTCAAGCACCAGATCATAGCGTGGAGCCAGTAGGCCGAGTATTCTTAAAGACTTTATTAAAGCGTTTTTCTTTTTCCCTGCAGATGAGTCTTTCACCAGCTACCACCCTGAGGCTCACCTCCCTCTCAGCCTCTTGCAGGGCAGAACAGTTTATGTGGAGGTTAGCCTGAAGGACCCCTCAGAGTCCACACTTGTGCTGCTGGTTCACTCCTGCCTGGCTTACACTGACGCTCCATATCCCAGTGGGATTCTTGTTTATGATGGGTATGTTTATACAAGGAGGAAAATGACGTCCTCACAGATGGTCTTGTTGTTGTTCATATTGCTGGCTGCCCCAGTGACCATTTAACATGATCAGTGGTTTAGTGTGCTCGGGGATATGGACACACTGCATGAAACTGTAGTTGTATTAGTAAGTACTAATTTTCTAGTTAATTGCAAAACAGTTTGCAATGTTTTGCAAACATTGCAAAACGTGTTAAAGGACACGTTTTGCAAACGTGTCCTTTAACATCCTGTTTAACAGTATAAACAGCCATTTTAATTGTAAATTTGATAGCTGTGCCAGCAATTTAAGAAATGCCATTGACTTTGCAAAGCTTGCTAATCAATTAGTGCACTAATAGATGCCAGTCATGCCTCTGCAAGTAGATGAGTATGAGGTTAAAACCTGTTCCTGAAAGCTGCGTGAAACCCGCAAAATATGCCTCGTGTCACAAATTCCACTTTCCACAATTCAAACTCAGTCAGGTGGGCATTACTTGGTAACACAGTGTGTGGATGTTTGTACTGCTTTGATTTTAAAGCCGTCATGATCTTTTTTTTTTTTTTTTTTTTTTTTTAATGAAGATTTGCATTGTGTTGCCAAAATTACTGCTGACACTGTGTGAAGGCAACCTTGCAGCCACAAATCTCCAACATTAAACATTAAAGAAGGGGGCTTCTTTAATGCCAGTTGCTGGTCAGTCTTTGGTTGTAAAGGCATGTCACTGTCATGTCGTTCAGCTGCAGCAGCCTGGGGGTTTTGCAGATGCTTCCGACCTCGGACTTGCAGGTCCGGAAGATTGCAATTTACAGCTTCCTCTCTCTTCCACCACACACGACTAAAGGGGGCTCCCTCCGAGAAGACCCAGAGGTATTTCCAACCTAAGATGCACACAAGTAAACAGCTGTTTGTGTATAAGTTACATTCATGTTCAGGCCCAGTGCAGATAAGTGAACTCGGGTAGTAATGCTATTGTTTTTGGTTTTTCTTTCCCTCCTCACTCAGATCCACTTCTTGTGCCTGACAGAATTGTGCTCTGATGACTGCACCCTAAGATGCCTCGAAGGTAAGACCATAAAGAGAAATGAAACACTGGGCAGCTTGTTCATTTATTAAAAGTATAAAAACACTTGTTCCAATTTTGAAAAGTTTTGATTCCTGACTGAAAATTGTTTTAATTTAAACACTCGTTAATAAAATCTGATATCTGCGGACTCTAGATAAACAAGGTTTTCTTTTTTTTTTTTTTTTTACTTTTTATTTTGTACTTTTTCCAATTTTGTAGTACATGCAAACAAAAACATGAAACAACAAAACAAACAAACAAACAAACAACAAAACACAACAACAACGAGGAGAGGTCCCGCCCTATGGGGCTGAGTGAGTCTTATAAGCTATCCATTTTGTCCACTGTTTTCGGTGTTTGTCAGATTTCAGTCTCAAAGTGTAGGTCATTTTCTCCATTATATATATGTCCTCGATTACATCAATCCATTCTTCCAATTTTAAAAGGTCACTTTTCAGCCAGTTTTTTGTTATTACCTTTTTGCTTGACAACAACATAATTTTAAACAAATAACGGTCCTCCTTTCTTACATTTTCCCATATTCCAAAATACATTACTCGTGCCTCACACAGCACGTCATACCCCAGCACTTTCGTCATTGTTACCGCAATTCTTTCCCAGTATGGTTTGATATTTTTACACTTCCAAAACACATGAGAATGATTGGCGTCCCAGTCTCCACATAATCTCCAGCATTGTTGGGGTGTTTTCAGCTGCTTGCTTTTGATGTAAGGAGTAATAAAAAACCTAATCACATTTTTCCAGCCATATTCTCTCCATCGTCTAGAGCTAGTGGAATTATGCTGTGTGAGACATACGGATCGCCAGTCATCCTCTGACAACTCAAGATGTAATTCCGATTCCCACTTTTGTTTGATATATAATGTTTCATTCCTATTCAAATTTTGCAGGCCATTATATAATTTCGATAAAATTCTTGATGGAGGATTTTTATATGCACCTGTTATTATTTCTATTATATGGCTTCCTTCTCTCAAGAACTTATTCCTAATTTCTGTATTGTAAAAATGTCTTAATTGAAAATACCTAAATAAATCTGATTTATCCAGTCCAAATTGTCTCTGTAGATTCTCGAAGGATTTGAATGTTGTCCCGTCTATTAATGTACACATTGCTGTAATTCCTTTATCGACCCATCTTAAAAATGTACTGTCCCATGATAAACAAGGTTTTCTAACTTTTCATTCTATACGTCACCCAAGTAGACTGGCGATGAAGCAATAAGGATTCAGTGGTTGAAAATTTGCTAACAAATGTGCAGGAAAACCTCAGAACTTGATGACGCAAGTTGACATTTATGTTGTGTAATGTGGTAATAGTCAAAAACGGAGGGGCCAGGTGAGACTTAGCTCATCGCATCTAAATAAACGCCTTCTTTGGAAAGAATGATGAACTTGAAGCAAAGAACGAGCTCTAAAGAATCACTTGTTTAGTGTGGTGGAGGCCGTGTTGTAGCATGACTGTGTATATGTAGCGCTAAAGGAACTCTATGTTCCATTGAGATTCAGTCTAATGCTCAACCTGAACGGCACTTAAACTACAAAGGCCAAGGCACCGCTGGGTACTGATGGGCGATAACTAAACACGTGAACCCGGTAAATAAAAGAATGTGCCTAAACGGGGAAGTTGGTCTCAACACTTTTCACTACCTGAGGCAGAAAGTTTCAAAAACAAACAGGACCTGAAAGCATCTGAAGCCAAATGTAAAAATTCTTACGTTTTTTGGGGGTTTTTTTGTTGTTTTTTTTTTTTTTTTTTTTTTTTGTCAGTTTCCTTGAGCTTCAGCAGTCGTTGACGCCAGAGGGTTTATAGCCGATTACTGATGTTGCCTAAGTTTGTGTATCAAATCATTTTTCACTCTGAAAACATAACAAAGTGGGGGGGAAACTGCAGAAATCTGTCATTTTAAATGTAATTTTTCTCAAACCCTTAGTTAATATCCAAAAAAACTAAAAGGATGGGAAATGCTTTCAGATTCTAGTCTGCTGAAATCACAATGATGCAGACTTGCACATTATGTACTTCCTGTTCTAACACATTGCAAAGTTTTCTGTTTGATCCGTGAGGGGTTTGTGACCTTGCTGCCACTTTTGTTGCAAACCACATGCAGTAACAATACCCAGATGGGTCGTTGCGCTGGTTATTTGGTAGTTAAACGAGCCAAAAGTACAATTCTGAGACATTACACCAAAGCCAGAAGCCTTACCAGGGTTTTTTTTTTTTTTTAAATACAAAAAGTGGAGGGTGGCAGGATTTCCTGCTTCGCTGTTATTCTGCGATAAACTTCCTGAAAGTTGTAAAGCATGGTGGGATGAGTAATGTAGCTACATCAATTATCCTTGGAGCTCATATTACTGGAGTTTCCATTCACAGAAACCACCTGGTCAGGTTTCACACAGCTACCCAGTGTTCCTAATAAAGTGCTCAGTGTTTCTCATTTATTACGTGAAATGACTACATTAACGTTGTTTTTTTCTCTCTCCACAGGTCCAAACACTGGTGTGTAAGCAACGAAATAAAGAGTATTACACAAGTGCAACTTGATTTTTGTCGCTTAATGGAAACGAGTGTCTCTGGAGGTTTTGCTTCTATAACTAAATGGTACAAATAAGTAGTACAGGGCAAGAAAACAAGTGACAGACAACTGGAGGCATTTAGCCTTTTGAAATTTATTTATTTTTTTATCAGCAAGACAGTTAACATTGTGTCATTTAAAAAAAAAAAAAAAAAAAAATGTTAACAAGCAAAACACAAAGGAATGAAACGTGAGCTTATTTTTTTCCCTTTTCTCAGGATGAAAGCTTTTACAGAAACAAGTCTTCTGAAGCATTGAGTCTGGAATGTTTAAACAGTTTGACCTAAAACTGAACCTCTCGGGTACCTGGCTGTCTTTTTTGCTGTTCTTGTTTTTTGACCTGCTCTTTGGCCCTCTGCAACCTCTACCAGAAATCTAAAAGGAATGCACTTCTTAACAATACTCTAGTATACAGCCACTAAAGGTAATGTGAAATTGAAGCTCACATTAGAGCGATGACACCTTGCTGTAACTGGACCTCTACTATAACAAAGATGATACACTGACTCCCCTTTAACAGTCATAACTCACCATATCCCGTGACTTTTACTTTGTGCAACGGACACAAACTATTAGTATTAGGGTCACATGAAGGGGGAACTATTCTCAAAATTAATAATAATAATGAAAATGTGGAGATTTTGACTTTTTTAAATTTATTTATTTTTATTCTATAGACTGCCTCATGGAGTTAAGCTGATGAAACTTATGTTTTTTGGTACAACATCTATACTGCATAAGTGTGACCATAAATGTCCTTGCATCTGTCAATCTCAAGCCATTTTATTTTAACCAGATGCGTCTTTCTGCACTTTCAGTGTCTGTATGCTCATGGCCACGTTGTTTCTCTTCCCCCTTTAACGTGGCCCTAATACTCATTCATAAATAAACAGTGTAACTTTTCAGGAGAAAAAATGTTTAAAAAAAAAATAAAATTCATGTTTTACCAGCTGAATTTGTTAATGTGTTCTCATGGCTGGGTTTGGCCACAATAATCTAGAGGCCTGTCAGGTTAGTGCACAACATGTTACAGGATTTATTAAGCGAAATGTCTAAAAACAAAAAAAGCCTTTTAATCAAAATATGGTTCTGAAGTAATGTAATCATAGCTAAAGGAAAATATGTAAACACTGATGTGCTGCTTGTATGTAAAGCAGTGGCCTTTGACAGGAGGTGGTTAAGGGTGTAAAACCCTAATCCGCCTCTTAGTACACATTTGAATAGTACACTGTCCTCTCCTGATGGGTATTCTTGAGCTGGTTCAGGAGAACTATGGCGCAGACCATGGCAGTCATCTGTTGTGCAGACAAAGGAGGAGGGCAAGTAAAGAGCAGGGATGGGATAAAGAGCTATGCAATGACCAACCCACTACATCCCGAGAATTGAACCAGCAACAGGTGAAAGAGTGAAGGAGGCTAGACCTTCCAGCCACAGCAATCAGCACGCAGCTACAGAAGTGTTTGAGAAAGTGTGAGGTCGAAACAAACAGGACAAATCCAACCCTGTTGATGTACTGGCCGTGTGTGTTTAAAGGCACTAAAGTAAAGATTGAAGAGTTGACTAGTGGTGGAGGGAATATTCAGAGCGCCAGAGGGTTTCTTATACTGTTTTGCCAGCAAATGTCAATCCTTCTGCAGATGAAGCAACTTTGGTGATTAAAAAATGTGAAAACTCATTTGCTAAATGCTGTGATCTGCTGTCAAACCTGTCAACTGTAAGCTGAGTCGTGTGTGTTAGGTTGGATTTCTCCTATAACTGCTAATGATAAAAATTTGAGACAATGCCGAGAGCAGCAGATGGAGTATGTGTAGTTCACACTAAAGCAATGTGGAGTAAAATCAAAATGGTGAGAAAAGCGCAGTGAGAATGAAGAGTGCACTAAGCATAAGCCAAAGGGATGTTGGCTGCGCTGAGAGGAGTGAAAAAGACAGGCTCCTGGTCAGCACGTGTGCTGGTGACTACTTCATGCTGAACTGGCTGAAAGTTAGCCTGAGTAGAAGTGGTCTGAGTCAGGATAATGTACTGAGGTGTTGAGGCAGAACCGATCTTTATGCTGAGGGTAATGCTGCAAATCAGAGCGATGAACTTTGGAATGATTGGGGAAATAAAATGAGAAGAAAAAGTTCGAAAAGGGAGGGGAAAGAAGTATTTAAGAGAGAGAGGAGTGCAAAGTGATTAATGTATGGCCATTGACATGAACAACAATATAGAACCTTTAGTACTGTGTATAGACTAATAGTAACAGGAACAACAGACTGTGCTATCTTTTTCCCTACTATTTGTAGCATTTGCCAACTCATTTGAAGCTTTACTTGTTGCAAAGTAAACACGCATTATTTGCCTACCAGGAGCACTCCAGTTCCAACGAAGATGCCCGTCATCATTGGTGCTTTACCGATAAAGACACCTGCAATGACGCCAGAACAGCTCTGCAGGAAGACCGAACAAACTGTGAGCATCTAGTACAGTACAGCTGAGTGAAAGAGGTAAAGCAGTGCAGTTCGCAGTGGTGGCAGGACCACTGTAAACTGCTTCATTTATTGGCACCAACTTACATCCATCTTGATGTATTCAAAAAACCCATCTGGTTCGGGGCAGGTATGCTTAACGAGCTCCATTATGGGGAAGCCAGTCACTCCACAGCAGTGAAGCTGCAAAGCAGGCAGATGAAGGAAGAGGTGAAGGGAGGCAAAAAACAAGTCTTAAACACTACCCTGCGCAGCCCTGTGGAGAAACTAAACACCCTTACTGCTTCCACAGGAATTGATGGAAACAGCTGACAGTGACGTCTTCTCGGTGTGTATCAGCCATATAACTTGTATGCATAAAGCAGAAAAGACTTGAGTATACAGGAAGTAAGAGTTAAAATTTAGTATTAGGTAAAAATGAAAAACAGCAGCTTATATACGTACAGTGTTGTGGATGAAGGTGAGTGTGATAGCAATTCCTGGGTCTTGATTGGCCACATAGAGAGCATACAAGCTAGCATATAACTCTGCAAACCTGAGTCCAACCTTTAACATGAGAGATCAAAACACAATCTTATGGTCAGGACATACTGGACACATAATTGATTTTCATCCCTTTTATCAGTATTTTCTCTCACCTCATCACTTTTAATGTTGGCAAGCACTCCAATAACAACTACCAGTGTAGCCAGTATGGCCAGAAGGGCGGAGAACTGAAGGGACAGGAAGAACTCTGTTAACTTTAACACTTTTAAACACACAGGAACAGGAAGTGAAACAGCTTTTCCAGTTTTATGTGGGTGCATCAAGAGAAGACGAGGCTTAACATTGCAGTAAACTCTAACAAGGACTTCCCAAAAGTAACTACAGCTTTCAGCAAGATGTGAAGAAACAAATTCTGCAACTTTATGTGCAAAACATCTGCATGTTGTGTTGAAGAGACATCAACTTAAGTTGAGCTCGAGCTGTGCTGTACTTTTGATGTAATACCAATCTAAACCAAAAGATGGAGCAGTGAGTCAGTGTGGTCTTTTGGGTGGTTAAAAGAAATAAACGACCAGATTCTTTTCTTTTATCCAGCTGGCCAAACTTTCGTATCCATATGTTGGCCTTCTGTCTTTAAAAGAAAGCAATTAGCTAGCTTTCTTGAAGTTCCTAACTTCGGTCATTGAGGCTAACAATTATAAACCTCTTTTAATATTTAAAGTCATGATATTCTAGTGCATGATCCACGGATGAAATTGCACAATTCAATGCAGTTGCGTGAAGACCTTGTCTGATTGGTGGGGTTGGGACAGTTTTGCATTGCAAATCTCTAAACTTGTAGCCGTGCAGCTCCTGCAGACCAGAGACACACGCCAACCTTTCTGCACTCTATTTCTACACTGTGTTTAGACTCAGATAGGATAAAATACTTGCACTGATGCTAAAAACCTTAGTAGGCTTACTGATCTGGCAGCAATAAGGGGAATCAATAGGGAACCAACTATATAAACAGAACCAATAATGGCAGTAGCATCAATAAAAACAAAGCTTTTGGGTTTTACCACAATGCCACGCTCGGCTTTTGTTTGACTTTAAACAAAGTCAGCTTTTAACACTTAGTATGCCACATGATGTTAACCTGCCTTGTATCTCATATCATCTTAGACTATTTGACTGATGGGGGGAGCAGAAGCTCTGTAAATAGCCGTCCTTCCTTCCTTCCTGTTTCATTGTGTCATCGATGAATGGAGAAGACTGAGTACTCGGAGAGCAGTTTATTAATTACTTTCCTCTGGCACTCTGACTTGTCTCTGTGGTTCCACAGAAATTATGTTGTAACAACTTGTTGAACTTGATGTACACGTTAGAATCAAGGATCTGATCTGAATAACGACTTTACACAGATTTTACCATTTGCACCAGCATGTAGGTGATGCATGTGCTCTAACATTTAAGCACCATTTCCAGCATTCACCTTAACCTCTGATGCTGGCACTGGGGTGGTTTTAAAATGTTTCACCGTCTTCCTGTTAAACACAGATAAAAGCCTGAAGAGTAACGTTAAAATTTGCCATAAAGTTAATGAACAAAGGAGTCCTCCAGGAAGCAGCGGGGTATTTAAGCTTGTTCTGAGCATGTCTTTGCAGGGCACTTCTTGTTCAGGGCGGTTTTTTTTGTTTTTTTTTAATGACTCCTAAGAAACGAGACCAAATGGGATTACTAGGGGTATACTAAACGTTACTAACACATTTTTGTTTTGGTTTCTCTGACTAAACCTAAAAAGCAACCTAAAACTTTCCCATAACAGTTAAAAGGTGTAACCACTGTGCGACACAGGGTTTTGTGGTCACAGCACAGGACACAGCTGGTCTGACACTCATCTTTACGGAAAAGTGAGACTGTAAGCCAACATGCATTACCCATCAAAACAACTCACCACTTGTAGAGCGCATCTCTTCTCGTTGCAGGCACCGTAGTCTCCAAACATCACCACAAACAGCATCACCGCCCCGAGAGCGATCAGCACAGTCACACCTGTTAATAAAACGGAGCGGGAAAGAGGGCCGTTTCTGTCTGTTAAATATGCATCGGAGCAAAATGTACCATCGTGATTCTTCGACCTAATAAATGTACCGACCCATAACAAATGCGCTGGAGCTGAATTCCTCCACATGGAAGATCGCTCTTGTGTTGTCGCTGAACCTCAACCACAAGCCAAGTCCAAGGAAGGCAAACCCCACCACCTGTCACATGAGGAAATAAAACCAGGACAAAAGTGTAATGAACAACATTCTTGGTTACTTTCACACCCTCTGGTTACTGAAATATAGGTTTTTAGAGTCTATATTTATAAACCATGCTGTGTGACAGATGAGTGGTTTTCACACTGTGCAGAACAGCTGGCAGAGGGGACAAACAACCAAGAAATTGGCATTTCAGGCATTTAAGACAGCTTTCTTCTGATTGGCTGTCCCTCGCAAGCATAACATTTACACGGGATGTGGGCGGGACTGATGCTGTGATGACCACATTAAGGATTTTGCTCTCGTTGATGTCATACAGAACCAAGAAGAACAGTTAAAATAGAAAAGTTAAACCATTTAAACTCTGGAAGTGGTGTCAGGAGACGAGGTGGAGGAGGGTCAGAAAGAAACAGGTGAAAGCTGAGATTGAGGACATACCAGCTTTTGAGGAGCCTTAGTGGGGACTACATGATTCAAAGTCTATTATGGACTTTGAAGTATAGTGTAAGCTAAGACTCTGACGTGGTGGCATTTGGTTTCTCAGCTGCTGTACAAAACACCGAGGTGTGAAGGGTAATCATCTATCCGCGGCAGCATTGTTCATGCTGTTTAGGAAAGTTTTCACTTCTTCTTTTCAGACGGCTTTATTCTTCTTCCACTCATCGGAGATACTGCCTTATTTTAAAGAGTCTGTACAATTTAACCTCACACTTCTGAAATCCCACTAAATAGCTAAGAACAAAAATGAATTGGTGGGTCTTAATTTGATCCCATCCCATACAACTCCTATTTTGTTATTTTTGTGACTATTAATATACACACACACACACACACACACACACACACCAGAGGTGTGGACTCGAGTCACATGACTTGGACTCGAGTCAGACTCGAGTCATTAATTTTATGACTTTAGACTTGACTTGA